CCTAACTCTGCTTCCCAACTGGAGACAGTCCCCCTTGGAGTGGTGCTAGCTGACCCACCCACCCACCCCCTCACCTGCCCAGCCAGCCCTGTCCCTTACCTGAGCAAGCGTTGTGTCTGCACAGGCTTTCCGGGCATCCTGGATAAGAGACAAGAGCAGATGAGACAGAAGAAAGCCATGTGAGGAAGGCAATGGCATGTGAAATTCAGGGGCATAGCCTGGGAGCTGCTAGAGGTAGGAACTGTGGATTTGCTGTGTTTGGATTGTGGCCAGCACATGGGGATCCTGGTCTGTGACCAGGGCACCTCAGCACACCAGTCAAACATCAGGAAGGTGAGTCAAAAGCTACTCAGCATCCAGTTCCCCATGCTATACCCTCTCCATGGAGACTCCCACCTGGCAGAACACCAGCTGCCTCCCATACAGAGAAGGTCCTAGGGACACACTAGACTCTCTGCTCCCCTGCAGACACAATGCCTGTGGCCACTTCCTTCTCACTGCTGTAGTCCCCTCTTCTCTCCCCCTCTTCCCCCCACCACGCTATGAAGATCTCCATTAGCACTTAAAGGGCTGTGCAGAACTGCAGAGGGCTCCAAGGATGTAGATGGAAAAAGCTCAACTCCAAGTTGTGGCTGAGGAGCAGAACTTGGACACGGGGGGGCGGGTAGACAATCTTTGAGCAGTTTCATGACTGTTGCCAGCATTACCGCAATCTGCTTCTTCAGCTGCTCAGCCTCCTGCTTCATCTGTTCCATTTCCCCCATCTTTCTGACCTAGGGGTGGCTCCTCCACGCGGGGCAGCCTTGATTCTGTGGAGACAAATCAAAGGAGAGAGGTGTGAGGTAGAAAGGGCACTAATATGACTGCTCAGTTATGCAAATGTAGGCATCTCTGATAAGGGCTTAGCAACCATTTCTTGGCTGAATGATTGGTAATGTCATGCTGTAACGGCTCAAAGCCCTTAGCATTTGGAAAGTTTGTACTGGGCCTGATCAAAGGTCCATTTGGTCTTGTATCCTGCTTACATGTACACTGGGAAGCTGAAGACCTCCAGAACCTCTTGCTGAGGTTCTGGCTGCACTTTCCCCCTCACCTCTTTATTTATAACCTCCCCATTCCAGGCCCTAGCAAGTCCTGGTTCCTCTTCATCAGCTTCTCCCTGTCCATCTCAGCTCCAGGAGGAGAAAACTTGATGGGGGGAGCCCACTGGCTATTTCCTATCATTTGTCCTAGGCAAAGCATCAGCACTCAGTGCCCACCAGCTTTTTGACCACCAAAGAAATCTGGGGGCTGTTGAGGTGCTCTGTCAGGGTTCCCTTCTGGTTTCCCATCCAAAAAAAAAAAAAAAAAAAGGAAAAAAAAAAGGTGGATACCTAGGGAATGATCTAAGAATAACAGAAGCAGATAGTGGTATTTCTCCTACTTTCCTAGCCCCAGCTTTTCATTGACTTCCAAAGCTAGAGGCAGCATTACTGTATGCAAGTTCTTGATGGATTTTTCTTCTATGTGTTTGTCCACACACTTTTTGCACCCATGCTGAAATTTAACATCCTTCATGGTGAGGACTTCCACAGCTTAGTGGCATGCTCTGCAAGGAAGTTCCTGGTTCTGTTACTCCCAAAAGGCTCTAGTTCCACTTGGTGGTACCTAGCTTTTGAGTTGGAAGAATCAGCAAATAACTGGTCTCCATTCACCTCAGCATCACTTTTTTTTTTTTAATAGATCTTTATCATATCCGTCTTCATCCATCTCTTATCCAGACTGCACAGCACACTTAGTCATTCCTCCCATGTAAGCTGTTACATCCTATTATCTTTGTTGTTCTCTAAGTCCTTTTCAGCTGTTTACAGAGTATAGATGATACATTTTTGCAGGGAGGGCAATGAACCAGAACTGTAATCCATATTCAAGATACAGGTGCACCATACAATTATACAGCATCTGTTTTGTTCTCTTTTTCTTCTTACGTGCACTTAAAACTTCACCAGTGATTCTAGCATTTCCCAGTCTTGCAGACAAATCTGGTCTTTATTGCTTCACTCTTTCTCCTGGGTAGGTGTCAGTGTCCAGATGTGCTCCAGGTATTCATCATTAGAACCAGCACTTTGCCCAAGGCCAAGAAATGCTCCAGCAGCATCTGCAGAACTTCTCCTTCTAGTCCCCGTGAGTCACATCGCCTCCATCCCCCTCTGGCCTGTTGCCTGAAGGCCTGGTTTCTTCTAGCCAATGGGGCTGTGGGTCCTTCCATGCCAGGCTGCTCTCTTGCTGTGGTCAAGCACATGTAGATAGCTCCCGAGTCCCACCTTTCTCATGGCTTCATAGAGCTCTTCGAGTTTCCCTCCAGAGCCCATTCCCCTGAACGTCTCTGTGGCTTTCCTTTGATCTTCCAGGCAGGGTGAGTTTCTGCTTGGTCAATGACTGCCGAGGCATGGCTTGAGTGTAGAAAAAACAGGGAGATACAGGTTTCCCCCAGCTCCCAGGAAGCATGAGCTTATCCCGGAGGGAGGCTATTTCAGGCTATACTTTGCAGAGAAAGAGTTATACCTGCTGCCTGCAAGCCTGAACAGCCACAGCACTGCTGTCTCTTCCTTACTCCCTGCCCATGCACTGCATGTGGCTGCTTTCCCAGTTTGCTGACCCCAGCATGTGGCGAGGGAGCAGGAGACGGGTCCAGGGCTGCAGTGTCAGGGCCTGGAGGCAGGTGCTACAGCAGTGGCCTGGAGCTGTCAACCTCAGCTATGCTGAAGGACAGGGACAGACCAGCATGTGAGCTGGGCTCTTTCCACTGTTTTTTTTCTTCTCTTGTTTTGACAGAGCAGTGATGAGGAGGTTCCTCCCAGCAAGGATACATAGCTGCACCTGGTTGAGTGATGCTGGCCGTGAAAACCCACCTGAATGCATTTCTCCTCCTTTGGGGAGGGGCTGGGCACCCCACACCACCTCCCAGCTAACTGACAGACTGGGGAGATGCTGGGGAAGGCCTTGCAGCTTTCAGTAGGAAGCTGCACATCCTTATCTTGTGGCGTTTGCCCTTCAGCTTTGGTGCACAGTCAAGCTGCAGAGACCGCATCCAGCTCTGGTCAATGCCTCTGAGCACACCAAGTGGCAAACCTGAACTTCCAGCCACCCTTCTAACCCTACCATTGTGGTCCACACCTTCCCCTTTCTCAGTTTTCCCCAGGACTGATCTTATGTCTCCTCCATCAGCCATAAGTGTTGGATTGCCTTTTCCTGCTGGGCCACCTCTTCCCTCTCTACTCACTCCTTCTAGTCTCCTCTGCTAGGTCCCCAAGGCCTGGCTTCCCCACAGCGATCCCTTCTTAGAACTTCTCCCAGCTGGAACGGCACTGGCTTTCTGCCCTCCAGGCTGTCATTTCACAGACCATTGGCCATCTGAGATCATCATCCAGTCCCCTGCCCTAATCTGTGGACTTCTGCTTTTGCCCACCCAGACCTACATGGAGGTGGGAGCCTTGGTCTCTCTTCCTTCCAATTTCTGCCCCAGGTGAAGCTGGCTGCACATGTCCTCCCCACCACCCAGTCTTCCTTGCATCTCTCCTGCTTTTTTACCATCCCCTTCCCCTCCCCAGGTGTTTCTTTCTCAATGCTGGCACTTGCACAGGAGACCCAGTTCACAGGTGCCTGCTCTGTGAAGCTGCACAACCAGATGAGGGGCTTTCGGAGCTGGCGGGCAGATCGAAGGGCAGGGGCACGATGTCGAGGACGGATAAAAAGGGCTAAACATAGAGAAGGTGCAGCTCAGGTTCAGGACTCCATTCAAACCTTTAAATCCCTTTCAGAGGACACTCTAAATGAAGCTGGGAATTGTTCTCAGCCTCAGAAGGACAAGGAGCCACAGATGAGCAATAATAATAGCTCCAGCTTTGCCTGTCGCCTCCACCCATCACATCCCAGTGCAATTTGTGGAGAGTGAATTACCTGGTCTCCAGTGGAGTGCAGCTGCCTCCCAGGAGGCCCATGGCAGGTGTGCAAAAGAGCAGCTCGTCATGGTCATGTAAATTTAGGACAGGAAATGGGGGAACAACAGGGGAAAGGGGAACGGAGTGTGGAGTCTGACCAAGGCACGTTCCTGCCATGACCAGCGGAACCTTAGGGATGCATGTTTCTTGTGGATCTATGGATCAGCTCACGGTTGCTCATGGTAGCTGCCCAGCCTGGTTTTAATGGGAAAGGCTTCTAAATGGTGCACGCTCAGTGCTTTCTGGAAGTAAGGGCTCTTTCGGGTGAATGCTAAGCAGTAGAGGAAACCAAATCCTTAGGTACCTTTGAAAAAGCAATTCACCACCACCCCAGCATTGCAAAGAGCTACTGACAGGAGGACCTTGGCACCAGCGCTGGTCCAGAGTTGCACCTCCTACAAGCATCACTGAGGAGAATGGCACAGCCAAACAGAGCCTGGGCTTAGTCGGTTCACACCAGCCTTCTTCTGAGCTCTGCCTTAGCTGTGCTCATCCAGTTCACAGTTCTTGGCTTTTGAAACCACATTTCATTTCTCCTGCTATCCAACATGGCAGTTCTTTCCCCTTCTGCCTTTTCTGACAAACTTGCTGGAGGCACCTGCTGTAGCGCTCCTGTCTGTGGGCAACCAGGCCCATCCTGAGCCCTTGGGTGTCTGCTCATAGCAGACCAAATGCCTCTACTATGGTGTGAGGCTGAGTGGGGTCTGGAATCATCCGTCTTCTGCCTTTTGCTGCCACGCCATGACTTTTCAGGGCAGTGGCTACACCCCTTGCACCATGCCATGGTGGGGGCCCAGCCTGCACCCCAGGGGCTGTCCTACTGAGCCACCTGCATCACTCCCTTGTGGGGATCGGGGTGCAAGTGATGGGTGCGAAGAAAGGGGAGGTGAACTCCCTTATTTCCTATCCTCTGGGTAACTTTCCCCACACTGGGAAGGGAGTGGTCCCTTTGTGGGATGCTGAGAGAGGGCTGTAAATAGAAAAGGGAAAGGTGCAGGAAGGATATCTGAGTATTAATAGGCAGCATCCCTGGGTCTCTGTGTAATCCCTGGCTGGCCTTGCATGCTCGTCCTGGTGACCCTGGGCTCCTTGCAGAGCTGGATACAGAGATGATCCCCCTCTTCTGTGATGGAGATCAAAGGCCAGGGTAAAATTACCCTGCTCTGCTCCTTGCTTTCTGAGGGTTCCTTTTCCATCCAGAAAAGCAGTCAGCTGCAAAGAGGTGTGCACAGGGGCGAGCTGCAAAGAGGTGTGCACAGGGGCGCACCGGGAGTGCAGGACTGTATGGGTAGCGAGTGCCAGGTCCCTCAGGGGAGGCGTTACCCTCCTGTTCCATACTGGAAACTGGTGAGATTTGCCTGCCAAGGGGAAAACAAGCAACCCCCTCCCAGTGCAAAGCCCCTCATCATAGTAAAGACATCTGAGTGCTAACCCCAACTCCTTCCCCGCCATGACCTTCCCTCCCACATCCTCAGATGGGATCAGCCCATGTACAAAAACTCCCCATGGTGTCACACCAAGAAACCCAGGGTCCCAAGTGCCAGGCTCACCAAGGTGACCTCAGGCATCACAACAAGGCAGCATCCTTACCAGGATCTGTAGAGCCAGGTGGGTTGCAGTCCCCCCTGGATGGGACTCTCACGGCCTGCCTCCCCTGCTGAGAATGGCTCCCCGACAGCCAGAAGCTCCTTGTCCCTGTGCGGTCTCCAGTCAGTCCTGCCCTTCCACCCAGCGAGTCCCTTGCTCCCTCTCTGTTCCTCAGCCTCTCCCAGGACTGATCTCCCCATGGGGAGCTGGAAGGCTGTGGACGGGAGAGGCTGGGGGAGGGCTGATTCCAGGAGCAGCGTCAGGCAAATTAAATCAGACACCAGAGACTTGGGGAAATCGGATTGGGACATAATGCAAAGCAGGTGGATGGGGAGGGGTGAAAAGAGGGTAGCACGCTGCTCCTGAAGGGAAAGAAACCATCACAGGTAGATTTGACTCCCTCTGTTTATACCAGCAACAAACTAATAAAGTGAAGATTAGCCAGAACACGCTAGGATTATCAGCCACTGGGGCAGGGCTTGCTGCACCTCACCGTCCACAAGAATTCCCATTTTCCCAGGGACAGCATGCCGCTTGTGTCCTGGGCAGGGCGGGAAGAGGGATGGTGCCACCCACGGTGGCCCTGCCAAGGGAAAACCCATGGCAGGGCTGGGGTCACACCCTCTCTGGGCAGCAAACTGGGCTCCGCATGGGGAAAACAGAACTGGGCACAGGGGCCAGGGGTGGCAAAAGATTTGGTGGCGTGCCTTTTGGCAGCCACCTTAGTGAGATGCTGCGAGAGGATTATCTTGGCCTCAATCTCTTTTAATCTCTCCCGCGGCTTTGGCCCAAGCCTGAGATAAATACCTTTTAACGGATCTCATCTGACGTCAGGAGGCCATCAGTCTAATCACCCAAGCCACCTTTGGGCAAAGCAAGCCAGAGATATGGACACTGACCCCTCACCCCCCAACATGTCCTCGTCAAGCAGGAACCATCCAGTGCCCCCACATAAATCATTGGGACGGTCATGTGAATGCTAGGATGTGATGGACCTCCTGCCAGGGAGAGGGAATTTGAAATGCACACACCAAATTGTCTTTTTCCTATGACCCTGGGGAGGACGGGACGCAAAAAGGGTTGCCGATGCAGGCTTCCCAAGCTTGTGTGTTAAGGAAGTGCCAGGATTCAGATTGAGGAAAAAATTCCCTTTCTATAGAGCAGGGGCCCTGTGCCAACAGCGACGAGGGGATCACCCACCCACCTCTTAGACCACTGGCCTTGGCCCTACAGATTTCTTCCATCTGAACTGTAGTTGGCACCTTCATGCACAACTCTCATCAAGGCCTGTTGTATGTCATGACCACAGATTGATCTCTGGCTCCAGCGCTTCCCAGGAAAAGGGTCACTGCTCTTTTTGATACTCCATATCCACCCCATTCAATTCCTGTTTGGCTACAATATAATCCCATCTCGGGACACTAATCCCCTGGGCAGTGACAGCAGATTGTCTTTGTATCAGGGTGGAAAAAGATAAACAAAATACTTCTGCTTTCAGAGGCAATTTCGTGCACGAAGCTGAAAAAAAAAAAGAAGAGAAGCCTTGCTGCAGGGAAACATAAGCAGTGCCTTTTCTTAAAGGCACTCCCCACCCTTTCCGGGGGTTAGGCATGGCAGAGCCGACTTTCTCTCTTGCTGTCCCTTATCAGAAGTAGCTGGCATCTGGGAAAATACTTTGTTTGTTTTCTTTCACTGAGGGCTCCATGTCCTTCCACCATTTGTTAATTAAATTTCCATCAGCAACGAGTGTGCAAGTCCCCCTCCTGGTATACAGACTAAAGCTCCCACCAACATGTGTCCAGCATTTTGCTTTTATTCCATATATTCAGTCCCTCACCTTCCCTCTCTCAGACCAACTGTGAGTTTATGGAGTTTGCAGGTGCCCAGGAAATTCAGAGACTTCTGTTTTGAGTTCCTGAATGTGAGACAGCCCTTGCTGAAAGACCCCAGGCTCCTCTTCCCCCTCTTGGATTTGGCCCTGGATGACCAAGAAGCTGGCCCTGAGAGGAGTGGGGTGAGGAGACCCTGCCTTCTTACTTCTGAGTCACACAAACATGTTGGTGAGGCAGTGAAGAAAGTTCCTGGTGTCACTGACTTTAATACTCTGTCCTTGCTCCCATTTTTCAGCTGCTGGGATGTCACGGAGAAGAAAGCTGCATCCCTCCCCATCACTACGGCTCTAGCATGCTAATACACTGCTCCAGGCCACTGAGGTCCCGGTAGTACCAAGACCTGCCAGGCCATGTTGTGTGCCAGTCCTGCCCCCGGGGCCTCGCATACTCAGAATTCATCTCTGGCCCGCAGCTCCTTGGGGTGCTGCGTCCTGTCTGAGCCGGCGGCTTGTGGCCTGGCTCCGCCGCTGGGAAAGGGAAGCTCTGAGGAGGATCTGCCTCTGTGATCAGCCTCCTGATGTTCTTCTCCATCAGGCCGGTCCTGCTCCACAGCCCTCTGTTCCATCAGCTCCTCTGCCTTCACCCGCTCCTGCAGCCATGGAGACAGAGATGATGTGAACCCCTCCCTGCTAGGGTCTTCGTCCTGCTCGCCGGGGCTGACAAGACACATCTTGTCATCCATCCATCCATCCATCCATCCATCCATCCATCCATCCACATCCATCCAACCCCCCCCAGAGCCCATTCTCTCTTGCAAGACCCATCACAGGCTGGCCCCTCCACCAGGTACCTTGTCAGAGGAGAAGCCCCAGCTGCTGCACTAGGCCCTGCCCCATGGGAAAGCGCACAAGCCACTCCTCAGAGGGATTTGATCTAGCTTGGAGATACTCACATCCATTTCTCCAGCATGGTCCTTTACCTGCTCGGCATGCTCCTGGGAGTGTGTGTACCAGAGAGCAATGGCGCAGCGCCTCCCGCGGCTCACTGCCCACACGCCGTGGGGGTTCTCCTTGCCAGAGCTGAAGGCTACCAGCCTCCCACACTTAGGACGCACCTCGGCCTGCCAGGAGAGAGAGGAGACAATGAAGCCAGCAGCCCCCTGCTCTGGGGTATACGGTTGTTGTACAGAGGTAATGTTGCCTCTGAGAAGGTGGAACAGCGGAGAGCCACTAGGCATCCACTGCCAGTCTATGAGCAAGATAGACCTTGGGGAGGGACACAGAGAATCAAAGGGACAACCTATGTCACAGACACCCACAGACTGCAAAGAGCTGGAATATCTCAGCTAGAAAGGAGTTAACCTCTCCTCTGTCTGAGATTTGCCTCAATTTGCCTTTAGCTGTCCCTATTTGAATCTGCCACAGCACCAGCACTAGATTGTTTTTGTACTGGTGGGATCCAATAACCAACTAGTTTCCTCCCACCCAGACTAAGCCTCACCCTCAGTCCTCCCTCCTTCTTTTGGCCAGTCCCAGACTTACTGTGACAGTCACAGTGTCCATTTCAGTAAAGAAAAGGCCCCCACCTTGGAAGTCATCATTGAGGTAGAGAATGCCACTGCAGAAAAAAAGAAAGAGGACATATGGACGGTGAAGCTCATTCCTCTCAGGTGCTTCCCCACACTCCTTGTCACAGGAGGCTGTGGCACCTGAATGACACCACAGGTTCAAAAAGTGACTAGACAGACCAATTAACAGGAGAATGCATTTGGGGGTGTTAAATACAGCAGTGCCTAACTCGGGGGAGTCCCTGAGCTGCAAGCCACAGGAGGCTAGGAGAGTATGCCAGGGAGTTAGCTCTACGCGCTTGTCCTCTTTTGTTTTTATTTTAATCATCTGCAGCACGCATCTGTGGCACTGTTGTAACAATGCCCTGGGGTAGACGGACCTTGGTTCTGACCTGGCATGATGTTATGTTTTAAGATTGGAAATAATCCAAAGCCTGGAAGAGGAGACTGATCAGCAAAGAAAGCCATGTCTTAAGAGTCAAGGAATTTCAGGGTAACGTAAGAATGGTCAAAAAGAGGCTTAGTGCATGCAGAAAAGAAAATTCAAACAAGAAATTTCTTTACTAACGTTAGACAAAACAAGAAGTAGTGAGGCCACTGTGCAGTGCAGGTGAGACCACAGTCAACTAGGTGAAAGAATGGACCACAAACTACTTGAGTTCCTCTTGGTATTCAATTAAGCTGACAGAAAACGTCAGAGGAACAAAAGAGGCTCATTAATGGGACTGGGAGAAAGAAACAGAAATCAACACTGTGTCTGCTGAAGTAAAATGTTAAGGACATAAGGACAGTGAGAGGATTACCAACCCTGAAACCCAGGAAGTTATGGCTCTTCTGCCATAGGGTTTTAATAAGACTGTGAAGTCAGGGTGGTAACAAAACTGGAGAAAAGCAGGGAAAGCTCTCACATGCACAAAGGGGCCAGAGGGTAGGGATAATGGTTGAAGCACAAACAGGACTGTTAGCCTGACCTCAGTAGTCTGCAGGGCTTTAGACTCCATTTCTGAGGAGAAGGATAACTGAAGGATGAGGTAAATGGAAAACGGTCTTAAAATGTAACATGGGGGTCCTAAAAGCAGATTGGGCTAGCCACACAACCTTTCACAAAACAGTTGCTTTCCCAGGGAAAGACAACATGCTCGATCTCAGCAGTTTGGACTCTGGTAAAAGCACTCAGAACAGTGCCACTAGAGAAATTACTAATGAACACAGAGAAGGTGAAGAAGAGCACGTGAACAGCACACAGTGCACCACTGGCACCGAAAGGAGTACTGTTCACCTGGAGGAGGATCACTGGAACTCTTGGACCCCTGGGCCCAATCCTGTCCAACAGTTTCATTAATGACCATAGCACAAATACACAGAAGAGATCCAGGAAGTTTGGAGCACAAGGCCCTCTTTCAAAAGGACACTGGAAGAGCTCAGCCCTTGTGAGTTGGTTGATCAGTCACAATTTACTCTGCAAGAGGACAGGAATACTCCTGGAAATAGCTCAGTGGCATAGATCCCAGGAAGATATTTTAACATACATTCAAGTAGAAGTCAGAGAAGCCCGCTACCCACGGAGGAGTGAGGTGACAGGACAGCTTTCCCACAGGAGGGACAGAGGTCTAACCAGTTACATGAGAGAGCCTGGTAGCTTTACAATCTGACTATACCAAGTCAACCTCTGTATCAGAAAGGAAATGGACTTAACGATACTGGAATTCCCTCTAAAGTCCCACTTCCTTACCATAGGCTGCTCAGAGAAGATTTCTGCTCTGGGTACAGCTACCACTCAAAGAAAAGGCGAATAAGATTTCTGGATGCTCAGGGATGGCATGGTAAATAGGAGGAATCAACTGTAGCGAACTGACCTCATTTGGCTGCAGTGTGCAACAACTGTCGCCATCTTTAAAACCTCATCTTTAAAATCTCATCTTTAAAATTTCAGGTTCTTTCACAGAAGAGTAACAAACCCTGCCACAGGCCGGAAAAAGCTCTCATATGGAATGGAAAAACCCAACACAAAGTATTGGCAGTCAATCCTGAGAGATGAACGGAGAGAATAGTCACCAAAGTACACTGACTGCTCAAACAAAGGAAATCCAAAGAGCTTGGTTCTCCCTCTCCTGTAATGCATGGAAGACTGTGAAAGATGGAACTTGATTAGAAGAAACAGACTGTCATAAGTGCTGGCAGTGGACTATAGTACTGCGGTAGACCCACAAGACAATAATTTGGTATCATGGTTCTAGTCCGTGCAGCCTTCCAGCCTCGTTCTGCTTTCCATTAATGCTGGCTGTGAGGAGGGAGAAGGGAGAAAGGAGAAAGTGCAGATCTTCCTAGCCTAGGGAAGGTGTTTCACACCTTGTTCTGAAGCCACTGATGCAGCCTTCTGCCTGATGCTACAGTCCTGGCTGGCTTTGAGCCAACACCACATCACCTGGTTTCTATAAGCTGAGCTTATCCTCTGATGGGGCCAGGGAGACATTCTGATCTCCACATGATCTAATGCAGGTCCCCTTCTTCTCTTACCTGTAGTCCCTGTACACATAGGCAGGTGGTTCTCTCCAGCACTCTTGCCCCTCAGGATCCAAGAGACAATTATCAGCATGGACAGGATGACTAAGATCCATGCGACCTTCCTGTTCCTCTGAAAAGGGAAGTTACAAAAAGGAGTATGGGCATTTTCAGTTTCAAGAAAGAATAAGGCAGAGAGAAAGGAGCACAGTGAGAGTGAAGGGAAGAGAGTCTCCTGAGAGCACATGGCTGGGACTGAGGAGACTCTCTAGGAGACAGGGACTAACAGGGTGAAAGATTCTTTACCGTCCACAGCTGTGCGGCACACAAGGTGTGTGAATGAGAAATGGAGTTTCTTTCCAGGAGTAAAATAGGACTCTATGATTTTCCGCGATTTCTCACTGGTCTGCAGAAGCAATTTGGCATCTCTCCAGTCCACGTCCCCATTCTGGGCCAGCTACAAGTGAAAAACAAGCCTGTTAGAGTGTCTTTGTGTGTAAGTATTCTAAGAAGTGGTACATGTACACAGTACAGAAGAAGAGACCTGTGTAAAGTCCTGTGGTGACACATGTAAGAAAATAACACGTTTTCTCATGTAAATGTAAGTCAGGAGTACACCTGTACAGCACAGCAATTCTTTCCTTCCACTCAGCACATGAAGCCACATCTGGAATGCAGCATCATTTTGGGTCCCCGAGTACACAAGGGACACTAGCAAACTGGAGTGAGTCTTCAGTGAAGGGTCTTAAGATGGCAGGGGTGCTGGAGCACAACTTAGAAAAAGAGGTTGAAAGAGCTGTGTTTCTTCAGCCTAGGGAAGACCAAAGGAGGATCTAACTACAGTCTCCTGTCACCTAAAAGGGGGTTACAGAGAAGATGGAGACAGTCTCTTCTCAGAGGGACACACTGAAAAGACAAGAGGCAACAGGCAAAAGCTGCAGCAAGGGAAATTTTGGCTAGATATAAAGAAAAATTTCACCCTCCCAAGAGTGGTACAGCACTGAAACAGGTGCCTAGAGAGGATGGGGAATCTCCACCCTTGGAGATGTTCAGGACTTGCCTGCACAAAGTCTTCAGGGATCTCATCTAGCTTTGGAATTAGCCATGCTGTGAGCAGGGGTCAGACTAGAGATCTCCAGAGGCTCCTTCCACCTTAATTTATTCTCCAATTCTAAGCTAAGCATGTCTGTTAGACTACTGCACAGGGACAAGTAGCAATCCCGAAACCCTGTCTCACAGGAGAGAAAGCACTTGTCAAGTCCTCCATGTACAACGTGCCTAAACGTGATTGTGGAGGAGGAGGGTCAGGGGAGACCGCACGTGCTTATGAGGAAGATAACACACCCATGACCCCATCCAGACTACACTTCACAGAGAAAGACGCTCGGGTGGCAAACACTTTCTGGACAATCAAGAAGGCGGCAGACTCACAGAGCCACTTACCTGCATGGCCTTCAAAACGGTTAACCCTTCAAATCTCTCATGTGGGGTGTGAGGCGACCGTCTTGCCCGGTAGCCATCTCCTGCTTCTCCTGCTGCCTGGAATAGAAGGACAGAGATGACACACATTAGGCTGCCATCTCTCCTCCACGGAAACACTACAACCCTGCCAGCTGCGGGGGAAAGTACACATACAGGAGCTCCTACAAGACCCAGGCCTCACCTTTGTCAGCCGGAGGAGGTCCTTACACTCAGACTCCGTCAGCACTCCGTCAAACACAACCCTCTGGGTTCCATTCATCTGGCGGGAATCCATCGTGACAGCAATACCCTCAAAAGGCAAAGGACCTGTCGAGAAGAAAGTACAGATAGGCATGAGCAAGCTTTGGACAAGGAGCCCTCAGACACCAACCCCCAGCCTGGATAAGGAAGTGGAGGGACACTATACATTCTCTGAGAAGACAGGACAGTTCCCCAGAAGTGCCCACTCCTCGCAGACCTGGGCCACTTGCACCCCTCACATGCTTCAGGGGAACCAGAGCATCAGCTGGGGAAGCTGGCCTACAGCGAGTGCTTCAGGAGCCAGCAGAAACTTGGGGCTTGCTGGGAGAGCAGCAGGGAGCTGGGGAAAGTTGAGTGCACTGTGGATCGCAGCAGCAGAACAGGTCCAGCCTACTGGGGTGAGGCTCTGGAGAAAAGAAGCAGGTAAACACCTCCATCAACCCTCCTTTCAATCACACATCTTACCCCAGAATTATCTCCAGTGCATCTTTCTACTTTCTTCAGCCCCGAAGGGAAGCAATGGATAGTAGTTGGTGATTTGCTCTTTCAATCTTTGGCCTTTTTTTCCACCCCCATCTGACCTCTGGATGGTC